GCGCTCGCGTTGTTACCGGATTATGTCTCGATATTCGACATGCCGGCATTTGACGTATTCGCCGGGTTTAGAATATCTTCAATTTTACCAGCGAGAGCATAGAATCGCTCTTGAATGCTAGCGAATTCATTCTGATGAACATCTTTCGTCATGGCAAGCTCGCTGTTATGCTTTTCGAATACATTATGTAAGTCTGTTAAACGCGCGATTTCTAATTTTAACGTGGCGTTATTTCATTCTTAGATCATCCTTGTCAAGAAGGTTCGACAAGTTGGTTATCTGGGATTTTAAAGAGGTTCGTTTTTGTAACAGAAACTTCTATCGGCTATTTTTGTGTAATGTGAATTCGAAGTGAAATCGAATGATTTACGCTCCACAAGACCCATATAAGTGGAAACTTGAACGTGTAATTGTTCTGGCAATTTCGCAGATTCGGAATGAATCATGTACGGCCGTTTATTTGCCTCACAAAAATTGAATCGTGAAAGCTTGTATTTTCTAATGTTACGTCCGTGCGTGTGAACACCTCACAGGAGGCACCAAATGTTTCACAGTTTAGTATAAAACAATACCACTAAATTTTTATACTGTATTTTCGTGTATAGTTTATTTTATTAAGTAATAGTTTTCATGTCTTGGGTTCGCAGCCCGTAAATATCACAATGTTAACACAAAATATTTTTTGTTAACACTAGCGCATTGGATGAATGCGGTAACAATGTATTGATAAACGTTCATATATTTGTTGACGCACTGGATAATATTCGGATAATATTTATATTGATTTCTGCATTCGATGACGCCTAGGAACTGATGCCCTGAGTCGAAGTATGGGAAACGCTTTGAGGCTATTGCCCTGATTCGAGGGTACAGACGCATGATACGCTTAGAGGCAGATACTTTAATACTTTTTACTCGAACGCTCGCGAGAAGGCCTGGATTATGCCTTGACTCACGATTGCTTCTGGATGTGTACGTTCTGCTAGGCTCCGTGATCGATTACCTTCGATCCTGATCCCCGAACTACTCCGATCTGGCTTCTGATTGGTGGATCAGAGAGACCGCAGATCGATGGCGACGACGAATACGACAAGCGCGGTACTCGCCGCCAAGATTATAGGCGCCAACAATCCTTTGTATTAGTCGCGCGCGACGTTGGCGGCTTCGTGACACAATAAGTTGTGTGTTCCTATGCGAGAGGTATGTATGTGTGTGTGTCCAAACCGTCCAACCCTTCGTTTTCGCATTTCGTCGTGCACGATATAGATTTTTGACAGGCAACATAAAAAGTCGAAAACACAAATTCGGAAACAAGAACCAAATACAAAAGTGTTAATAATAATATAAATATTAAATTAGAAAGTGTTACGCCAATTCAAATTTTTTTATTTTTTTAATAATATCCAGAATTTAATACTTGTGATTGTTTACATATTCCTTAACATATTTAAATATAAAAAAAACAGTAACGTCCGTCGTAACAAAATTTCCTTATTAACGACGAACATTACTAGGCGCAACGCGAGCGTCTTTGCTGTAGCAACGATAAACTCGGTACCGATTGCGATGCTGAAATTGTTACTGTGGCAACGATGTATGTACTTGCTGAGTGCTGCGATACCGAGCCGAAGTGTCACACATTGCACACAGGGAGCAATGGAAAATCAATAATTAATTTAAATACAGTAATTAACGAATGCATAAATCGTAAGAATATCGTGTCGCCAAAACCAGGGTCATCAAATCCGGACAAATTTCAATTCAAATTTTCCGCTGTACTGTGCCTCCGCCAGAGATTGTTATTGGCGTCCAAGAAAGCCTGATGCTTCTAGTAAACAGTCATATTCTCAAAATGGCCGCGATGTTGAAACCAAGTGCGGAGTATAATCGAAGAGCCGCGATCATCGAAGACCTTCGCGCCGGGCGCTCAGCAACGGAAATAATTCGGTTCTTTGGATACCCGAGATCCACTGTTTATGACGTTGTGGCAAAATATATGGCTTTAAAACAGTCCAACGAAGGTTCCAGTATGCCAGCGAGGAAGAGTCACTCGAAAGAACGCACCGCGAGGATCCCTGCAGTCGTTGAAAGAGCTCAAACACTGATTTCGGATGACCCAAGGCAATCGTTGCGAAAATTAGCATCGATTGTTGGTGTAAGCGAGCCAACAATGCGTCGAATTGCCGAGGAGGACCTTCGATACAAATCGTACACATTAAAGAGACTCTCTGAGACTGCCACGACAAGGAATTGTTCAATTTGTCCGGATTTTGGTGACGCACCCTGTATACTATTGTCTAACGGAAGTTTGCATACCAAGTGCCAAAAAAGCACGGCAGTTTAAGTAAACACGGCAGAAACTCTGTTAAACAATTACCAAACGAGCTCGTTGCGACAATAAAAATGTATATCCCTGGATATCAATCCAGCAGGCGAAGACCTGACATCGCGAGAGATTGCGGAAAGGAGCCGTGACCGCCCTTATATATCTCTCCATAATGAAAAAATCGGATAAATTTAAATTATTCATATAAAAATCGTCTAGTGAATGTTTTAGAACATTCAGTTAGTTAGTTAATCTTTCGACCGCAAAACGTCGACGGTCAGAAGAGTATATAAACAGAGTCTTTTCAAAGCAGAGCGCACTTCATAAAAGTCAGCATTTCGGTAGTTATTTCGTTAAAGTAAGTAATATTTTTAGTACAATCTTTAGTCGCGAAACTTTCTTTTGGCGTTTTCCAATTGCGGATACCCGATTGTTCACTCGAGATAACGAGATTTCAAAGGTTCAGATTCGCTATAAGCCAAGACTCTGCTCTTTTCCTTTTCCTTTTCTTTTCCTTTTTTTTTGCGTACTGTCGCGAATCTGCATAGCAGTATAAATTACAAGAATTTCGCAAGTTTTCTTTTTGTTCTTTTTGTTCTTTTCTTTTGTATGCGCGTGTGCTTAAGTTAGCAATAAAGTTAATTATAGTGTCAAACGATTGCGTGTTAAATTTTTTCTCTCTCTTTTCCTTTTTTTTGTTTTTATTTTTATTCCGACATCTAATTACGACGTGAAGTGCATCAGTGTGATCGTGCCGTGTGACATCCCTTCAGTGTTTATGCGCGGAAGTGCCACGAGAGGAGTCAGAGTAGCGCAGGAAATCCCGCGGTGCTCCTCGAGCTTCCCTTTTCCGTCGCACGAGCGATGCATAGAATCTCGTCGGCGCGTGAGCCCTTTTCAGTGGGTCCTCCTACCCCGATCGTCGTGAACTCGACCACAAACCTGCGGCTGTTTTCCGAGCGGACAACAAGCGCTCTGATAGAGCGCCCCGCCATTCAACCTTCCCTGTTCTCCTCCCTCCTTGCCCCTCGTCGTTCATTCTAATCCATCCCAGCCGGGATCACAAAGGGAAAGGTTTCGAGGTGAGCCTGATTTCTCCCTTCCGGATAGCGCAGGGAACAGACGTGCTCTTTGCGTACTTCCGTTCCGCCACTACATCTTAAATGAGACAATGTTCGCAGGAACGCGATGGACCGCAAGCCGCAATAGGCGAACCGACCGGGAACAGGCGTTACGCGCCTTGGTAAGGGAGTATCACACAGTTGTATCCTACGATCCGCGGATATTCACGGACTCCCGACCCAAGAGACACCCAAGTACTATTCAGTGCCCGGCAAACACCCGGATCCGCCGCCGTCGCGCTCCGCTTCACGGATTCTCCCGCAAATCACCAAGATTGACTTTCATTGTGAGGATGGTACCCCGACTGCCGATCCAGTGACACTACTGTTCTCCGTTCTTCCTTGTTTGTAATATTATCTACGCCACGTTGCCAATAAAAATTCACTGAAATCATTACGTTTTGTGTTACTTTTTTTTCATTTTTATTATCCATTCATGCAAGCACTATCCCGCCGCGCCAAAACGACGCGCTTCCAGGGGAGCAAGGTTTCCACTCGTCTCCAACTCTCCTCCTCGATTTCCTCACTCCGGCGGATCGCCTCCGCCGCAAGAAGCGTTCGCGAGATACAGATTATTAAAGCCATCTATTGGAAAAATAATGTATTTCTTTTTACTACACCTAATATATATACAAATAAGTCTTTCTATTCGTGTTGTTCGAGAGCGAGAGCGTTAGAACGAAAATCTGAGCGTTTGAATTACAGTTCGACTTAAGTCGTAATCACACTAGCGATTGCCGATTGAATTGAGATTGCGATTGGCAATTGGCGATCTACAATCATTCGATCACACTGACGATTGTAGTTAGGAATTGTGGCCGCTACAATCGCTTATTTGTGTCTGAAACGAAAAATAGCATTGAAAAAAATGTCAAGAAATATTAATCAATATTAGCAACTGCGGGAGCAAGAATTGATTGTGGTAATTATGCTCCTTGCAAGTAAACGTACCAACAAAAAAATTTGGACGCATCGATGGATAACAAGAAGAAAGGAAAAAGGATTATATCATAACCTTTTCTTGGAACTCAGTCTAGAAGATCTTAATAGATTCAGGAGGAGTATACATAAGAGTTTACATTCTTTAATGTACATCTAAAAAAGAAATATTAAAGTAATCAATTAATAATATTTATTACAGGTGCTTACGTATGGACACAGCAACTTTTGAAGAACTTTTAGAGAAAGTTTCTCTACTCATTGAAAAGAAGAATACACATTTGAGAGAAAGTATTTTCAGCAGCAGAAAGACTTTCTTTAACTTTGCGGCATTTGGCTACAGGTTAGATTAAATTAAATTATTGGATATATAATTGCTTTTGTTTATGTTTTGTATTTTATTTTTAGGAGAGACACAGGAATCCTTATCATTAACTTTTAGAATAGGTCAAAGCACAATATCTGGCATCATAAAAGAAGTATGTCGAGCTATCATGACTGTATTAAAGGTAAAATATTTAAAAACTCTTTCTACTGAAATGAAGTGGCAGGAAATTGCACGAAATTTTGGTGAACTATGGCAATTTGAAAATTGTATAGCAATTGACGGGAAACACTGTAGAATTGATCCACCACTTAGATCAGGGTTACTTTATTATTGTTACAAGGATTTCTTCAGTATTGTTTTAATGGCAGTTGTCGATGCTTATCTACGCTTTATATACGTTGATATTAGGATAAATGGACGAATAAGTGATTCGGGTGTATGGAATAAATGTACTCTCAAGGTTCGTTTAGAAAGCAACAACCTTCATATTCCGGGTCCATCTCCACTTTCTGGCACAAGAGAAATGTTTCCTTATGTGTTAATAGGTGATGAAGGTTTTCCTTTAACAGAGAAACTCCTTATACTGTATTCTGGTTCTCAATGCTCTGATAGAAAAAAATCGTAGAATTTTCAATTATAGGTAAGATACTTTTTTAAGAATTAAATGTCAAAATTCGCTTGATTATGATTTTATTGATAATGGATCGATGGTAATACTGTATTATACATTTGCCAAGAACTAGACGTTGCTCAGAAAATGCCTTTGATAATCTTGGAGCTAGATTCCAGATATATCAAAGTGCAATGAGATATGATTCAGATGATGCTGAAAAGATAATAATGGCAACTTGCTGTCTCCATAATATGTTACGGAGTAAAGTTGTTGGCAGGGCCATGTATACACCTCCATCATTTATTGATGAAGAAGATATGTCAAGTAAAATCAGACCGGGTGATTTCCGGGAAGAGTCAGCAAATGGTTTAATAAACCTGGATAATCAAGGAGGGAACAGGCACGCAAATTCTATTTTTCTAAGAAATAAATGGCGCGACTATTTTAATGTTGGAGGTGCAGTACCGTGGCAAGAGCGTATGGTGCGATAAAAAAATTGTAACATTATTTATACGTTCTTTAAAAATATATCTTTTATAGCTTACTATCAGAAATAATACACAGTATAAAATACAAGTAATAGACTATATTAATACAGAGAAAAAATTTGCAGATTTTAAATAAGTATTACTTCAATAGTATTAATGAAATATTTACTAAATGTAAACATATATTTAGTTTAAAAAAGTTTAGTTGATTGGAAAAACATTGTGGTACTGTATCAAATAAAGAAACAGAATTATAAAAATAGAATATTGTTATCAGCATTCATTATTTTCCTCTCGCAATTTAATAGAGAGAACAGTAGTAAGAATTTTTAGAATCTCTGTTTCACAATACAAACGTCTTTCTGGTTCCATCTCCCTTAATCGAGCAGCAATAAATAAACCCAGATGTTCGCAAGCATCATAATCCTAGGTGATTGTTGATGCATTTGATTTTGTGACATTTTCGTATTACCTATTCTTTTTAATGCTTGTACTGCTTCTTCCATAACAGTTGTCCTTTTCATTGCGCCACGCTTTACATAAACTGAATTATTGGCTTGCTTGTTATTTTCAGACATAGAAGTTGAATTTGAAGATTGCGAAGATGTAGATGTACAGCGAGAATTTTGTAAGTTTTCAGAAGCAAATAATTCAGAATTTGTAATGTGAAACGCACATGGCTCTTCAGATAATACAGATGTATGTGGAACTCCAACTTTTTCAATTGAAATACTGCTACTGCTGGCAGATGCAGTTATATGTGTGAGTGGCACATTTGTTTTCGCAGAAGATTGTTCAATTATATTTTCAGGAGAACATGTGGGCTCTAATAAAGACGGATTTAAATCTATAGAACTGGTATCTTGATATAAAGGCTGTGAAGTAGATTCATCTAAGATGTTGTCTGATATCAATAATTTTTAAAATAGAACATAACGTCTAATTTTATATTTATGATGAAATGAATTATGTATAATAATATACACCCAATTAATTAAAAAAAACCATTTCTCATTTCTTAAAAAGAAATTGCTTATTTTTTTTACTTAATTCTTTAGTTATAGTTACCTGTAAATTAGAATCAAAATGTATATTATTTTTAATTGCATTTGCAAGAAGATTATTGTTCATTTCTTCATTGTTGTTACTGATAATAAATGCCTGACCATCTTTTAGATCATCAAGATTTGATGAGCTTTCTATTTGCACACAGGCTTTCTTTAAGAATAGCAGACTTGTGTAGAATGACTACTTAGGTTTATAAATCTCATCTGTACCTTTACCACTGCATCTCTGTTTTGATTCTCTTATTCTTTTTTCATTGTTCATAAATATAGTTCTCATATTAATGAATCTGTCTCGAATTATTTCAGCTAAAAAATAAAATATTTTAGATATTTAGTTTAATATAGAGAAATATAACCTAACATAACCTTAATCTATTCCATTAAGGACAAGGAAAATGAGATAAAGAAAATTCATAAAAATAAAATTTACAGCTACATTATATACTTATTTAAATCTTCTACTTACCTGTTATATTTGAGATCCCCATAAGATCTGCTACCTCTTGCCAAAGGACTTCTTTTATATCATTTCTTGTGTACATTGGATGAGAAACATTCCACAACTGCGGTCTATTTTTTACCGCATCAATCAATAAAAATTCTTGATCAATAATAAATGTCTGCTTTTTTGCATTATACACATAAACATAACTTGTATTCTTGTATTAAGTATGACACTTTTGACTATAATTTAATATATTATATTATCGAGACACATGTGATTTGATATCACGTGACTAAAATCACAATATTTCATTGGTTACGATTGGCCGACAACTGCGATTGACGATTAGAAAATAGAGCATTGTCTAAACGGCAATCACTAATCTCAATCGGATCTCAATCGGTTACTGCTTTGCTTTGATTGGTTGAAAAGTAATCGTCAATCACCAATCTCAATCCAATCGGCAATCGCTAGTGTGATTACGGCTTTACGCGAATCTCCGATTATAAGTCGAACGCGGCGGTTTTCTGGCGGCGGAGCGTCTCACAGACGATTGTACTTTTTGCGGAACGTTCGCTTTAACCGAAAAAGCGAAGAAGGATCGCGGCTCGATCGATTCAGCTCTATTATCTCCTTTGTAGCACAGATGCTTTCTTTTTTAATCGCCTATGAGATTCTAGAAAATTATAAAATTGAGATGATCCCCACGATTCGAGTTGCGATTAGCAATTCTCGACTGCGATTGCCAAGCAGTACTCACTCTATTGCCATGCGCGTCCGCCAAATCAGGAATCCTTGGAATGTTCCTATGTTACGCGTTTCGCGTCACGCGAGCGCGCGTGCGCTGTGATTACTTTGAATGTGATTGCCGTTTTAGCGGTTGGAATTTGTGTACGTGCGACATGCAAGATTGATTATATTTTTTGCCTTTATTTACGAAGTGATTGTCAAGTTTGTGTTTTTTGGAAACTTCTAGAAACGTTTGAAATTTTTCGAGAAGCTTCCAATCTGCCTGTCGCACGCACACCAAATCTACGAAAACTGATTTTTAAGATGCATCTCGAACACATGTCGTCTTACAATGTTTATCATAACTTATCTATATCGTGACTAGTTCTCATTTCTGTTGTTTGTCAGTCATTATATCATAGCGAAATGTCATTGTTAAATTTAAAATACTTGTTGTTAACCATTCTGTAGCTATACTTTATATTCTTAGAGGACTTAAAATATCAATAAATGGTTTATCTATCTTTCTATTTATCTCTCTTCCTCCGTGACTCAAGCGTCCGACAACTGATTTGGAGGCAGTGGGCGAATATCGATTCGTTATTTTTTTAGGGGCAGTTCATCCGCTGTGTCATTCCATCTATCTTACCCTAGAGTCCTCGAGAAAGGGCCTTCCTAGTGATGTTATCATCGTGCACGATTTATTTTAAGAAAACTAAAAGTATTAAATTAATGAAGATAATGAGATTGTCTTTTCTATTAGGTGTTGGAATTAATTCGTAGCGTTTTTAATGAAAGAATGTTATTTATTTCACATGAGCATTAAAAAATATATTAATGAAAGTACTTCCCATCACTTGTAAAACGCTACGAATTAATTCCAACACCTAATACATTAAAAACGACCATTATCAAATTACAAGTCAATATTAAATTTAGTTTTCCGTGACTAGTTCTTTTTTTCGTCTTATGTAGTAAAATCAATATTTAATTTTTTTATAAATGTGCCGGGATTAAACTATAAACAGAAGTCCATATGCGCAGTAAAATATAAAGATATTAAGGCTCCTGAGTAGTCACTATGTTAGAATCGTGATGAGAAACGAGGAATGATATGTTAATTTATGTTGCATGTCATTTGTAAATAAAAAAGACAATTTGGATAAATCTAAATGACGAAATCACTTTAAAACATTTGTAAAAATCGACAAAAACTGTCCTTTCTTCTCTTAATAATCAGTAAGTAAATGGTCGTAAAAAGCACGTAAAGTGAACCTCTTTCCAGAAAAACACACAGTCTGAAACAACGGTTGTCGGAACACACGGCTATTGAAACGAGTAAAATATACACTTTTATGTATAGAATTCCAAGATAACTGTATTTTCCGTCCATTTTTAGGACTTTCATAAGACAATTCACATTTTTTTCATAATTAAGCAAATAATAACGAAATAGCATGCAACACAAATTTCGTCGTCAAAACGTCACTTTTCCAAGCCTGTAAGTTCAGTCATTTGTCGTGGCGAGACTGTAACACTGTCGTGTCTACGCTGTAACATGCATACAAACACGAGCTCATATACATATACTCGCCTTCGGTGTTCCAAGAGCACATGTATATGGACTCGTACTCGTGACCAATTTCGTCAGGCCGCCGTTTGATTCTGTGTCGTCACCGTCAATGCAGAGTTCTTAGCTGAATACTAAGGAACCTTAAGATTCTTGTAATCTACAAAATTATCGTCAGAAGGATGTAATATTACATTGATTTAAATGAAAACATCTTTATCTGATTTTGATAACAATTTGTGGTCTCACATAATATGCTTTCACACAATATGTACATATATTTAGCAATTTAAATTACATAACACATTAAATTACACATTAACAAAAATATGAATTTATAATAGCAATTTATGCAAGTAATTACATTAAATACTTGTTATTACACATTAATTATATCATTAGATATTATTAAGTTGGTACGTATGAAATGTCGGATTTTTAAGTGAATATATAAAACTGCATATCTTTTTTCAAAAGCTGTTTATTTAATCAAAATATGCTCCATTTGTTTCAATACACTTTTCCCAACGAGATTTTAATGCATAGATGCCTGTCTTAAAGAAATTCTGATCTTTAGAATCAATAAACTCTGATATGGAATTTTTCAATCTTCATTTTCTGTCTTCATTTTCATACTGTTTAGCTCGTAAAAACTGTTCTAAATGTTTAAAAAAATAAAAGTCGATTGGCGAAAGATCCGGTGAATAAGCTGGGTGCTGCAAAATTTCATATTTTAATTCATTCAATTTCACAATTGTACGACGTATGCGGCGTTATCGTGGAGAAGTATTGGGCTATGCCGATTAACAAGTGATGGGCGTATAATTTTCAATTTTTCATGCATTTCATTAATGTACTGGCAGTACTTTTCAGCTGTAATTGTCTCCCCAGTTCGAAGGAATGAGTAATGAATCCTCCAGTCACATTTCACCAAACTGTTATTAAAATTTTCCGTGGATGAAGTGATGGCCTTGGAGTATGAGCACAAGCCTCATTCTTATCAAGCCACCGAGCACACCTTTACCTATTGTCGTAAAGAACCCGTTTTTCATCACAAGTAATAATCCGATCGAAAAATGGCTCTCGATGAAATCGGGTTAGTAATGATGAGCATACGTTCAATCGATCCAGCTTATTTCGCTCGGTTAGTTCGTGCGGTACCAATTTTTTTCACCTTGCCAATTTCAGAAAGGTGTCGCAATATCGTTGTATCAACTTTCATTCTGGTAGCAAGTTCCCTTGTAAATATAGTTGGATTCGTTTCCACCAATGCTTTCA